ATAAAATGAATCTTTTAAAAAACACAATGTGGGCAGTGGTGGTGCACACCTTTAATCCCAGCACTTGGGAGGCAGAGGCAGGCGGATTTCTGAGTTCGAGGCCAGCCTGGTCTACAGAGTGAGTTCCAGGACAGCCAGGGCTACACAGAGAAACCCTGTTTCAAAAAACTAAAAAAAAAAAAAAAAAAAAAAAAAAAAAAAAAGAAAAGAAAAAAAAAAAAAAGAAAAGAAAAAAACACAATGAAATGGAGAACAATAGAGGAATATATTAGATGCTGACCTCTGGCCTACACACACACGCACACACGCACACACTTCAAATGAAGAGAAATTTGGCCAGGGAGATGGTTTAGAAAATAAATATGATTTCTATACAAACCTGATAGCCTGAATTTTGATCCCTAGAATCCATGGTAAAGGGACCAACTCCCAAAAGTAATCCTCTGATCTCCACATATATGTTGCTACATGTGTACCCACACTCATGCAGACATAGTTGTTATATTATGCTTTTTCTCTACTGCTCTGAACAAAATCAACCTGGGAGTAAAGGGTTTATTTGCTTTCATATTTCTACATCACAATCCATCATCAATCAAAGTCAGGGCAGGATCTTAAGATAGGAACCTGGAGACAAAAGTTAAAACAGAGATCCTGGAAGAAGACTGCTTCCTGGCTTCCTCCCATGGCAGTCATAATACTTTCTTAAACCATGTAGGACAATCTGCCTGGGATGGATGGTACCACAAACAGTGTGCTGAGCCCTCCCAAATCAATCATTAATCAAAAAAGTGCCACAACAGATCTGCCTATAGGCCAATCTGATAGAAGAATTCCTCAACAGAGATCTCCTCTTCCCAGATATGTGTCAAATTAACAAAAACTAACTCCACACACTCTAAAAAAACACTCCATACACTCTAAAGATTTTTTTAAATGAATAATTGTTATGATAAATTAAATGATGACCATTAATCAAGCACTCCATAAATACTCAGCAGCATCTAAATTGAAGGAGAAAACTAGAACATACCTTTCAACAATAATCCTAAATATAAATGGTCCTAACTTTCTGAATGCATCAAAATAAGAATAGTTTTAAAACAAGACTCAACTGCTTTCTATCTGTGAAAATTCATCAACTGGCAAAGGCTCAAAAAAGAACAGAGAATGATATTTCTAAGCAAAGAAATTAAGATAACAAACAGGAGTAACTAAATTCCTAAATGACAAAGGAGGTTTCAAGCCAAAATTAGAAAAGACTAAAGGCTACTATATATTAATAAACAATCAAGAAGATCCCAGCACTCAGGGGGCAGAGACAGGGGGCTCCCTTTGAGTTTGAGGCCAGCCTGGTCTATAAAGTTCCTGGCCAGCAAAGGTACAGTGAGACCTTGTCTTAAACTTGAAATAAATAAATGCATAAATGAAAATACAATGAAAGTTTGGCCATAATAGTGTGTCTTTATGTGGCAGTGAGAATAAAGGTAAATCCCTGATTTTGGCTGAACAGCCTGTCTGGCCTACTTAGCAAGCTCCAGATCAGTGAATGACCCTGTCTTAAAAATATGATGGATGGTACTTGAGGAATAGTACCCTAGATTGACCTCTGGTCTCCTCTTCTCTAACCCCTCCTCTAGCCCAATGATAAACTGTAATTTATTCTAAAACTTCTCAAGATCTTAGAAAAATAACTAGTCAAACTCAGAATTAATACACAGGGGAAAAAAAACAGTAAGAAATCACAGTAGAAAAATTTTTTTCAAGATTTATTTTTTTATTTATATGAGTACACTACAGCTATTTTCAGACACATACTATAAGAGTGCATCAAATCACATTACAGATGGTTGTGACCCACCATGTGGTTGCTGGGAATTGAACTCAGAACCTCTGGCAGAGCAGTCAGTGCTCTTAACCTCTGAGCCAGGTCCTGAGTTCAATTCCCAGCAACCACATGGTGGCTCACAACCATCTGAAATGGGGTCTGATGCCTTCCTCTGCTGTGTCTGAAGATAGCTACAGTGTAGTCATATAAATAAAATAAAAAAAATCTTAAAAAAAAAAAAGATATTGAAAGGTATACCTAAGTGGTAGATCACCTCCCTGTTATGTACAAAGCTCAGAGGGGGGTTCCATTTATGAAGACATCATGACCGTCAAAAAGAAATGAGGATAACTTACTCTATGAAACTTAAAAAAATACCGAAAGAAGCTAGTCACAAAAGTTCACACATGATTTCCTATATATAAACTATCCAGGAAGGTCTATATATATATAGAACAACTCATGCTTTTATTATGCAAAAATAATTCCTTATTAAGTCTCTTGACATGGTGCATACACAAATACATACATACATACATACATACATACATACATACATACATACATATATAAAATATCAATCAATATATCAAACTTTCAAAGAAAATCTATTGCAAGTGACTTTTAAAGACTACTAAAAGCCTATCACTTGATTGCATAATAGTTTGTCATGTTTACTAATGTATTGAAAAGCTTTTGGAATGAAGTAGTAACAGTTTGGAACAAGAAATTTTTGTACAAATAATTTATTCAAAGAAATCAGTTTAACTTCACTAAACTTAAATAAGCTAATTGCTACTAGTAGTCTCTCATCTTGAGCAACCGGAGAGATGGCTCTACTGTTTAGAGCACTTATTGCTCTTCTAAAGGACCTGGTTTTGAGTCCCATCACCTACATATTTGTTTCTTAACTATCTGTAACTGCAGTTTCAGGGAATTAGATGCCTGCTACTGACATCCTTAGGCACAAGGCATGCACATGGTACAAACACATACGTGCAGATAAAACACTCACACCCAAAGAATTGTAAAAAAATAAAAAATAATCAATTAAGATTGAAGACCTTTCAAAGATAATCTTAGATGCTACATACAATAAATCTATTTTAAATTTTTTTCAATTGTATTTTCCATTATATAATTTCAGTACATTTGCTCTTCCTAACAACCTTAGAAATTCTAGCCATCATTAATACCATTAATATCACATTCATATGAGTAAATTAAGGTTCATAAGTGATCTTCTTTTTTTATAATATTTTTTAAAATATTATATTTTTTTATAAAATGTTGATCTCTATATTCAGTTGGAAAAAAACAATAATACTCTGGCCTATTTTTTCCTCCAAATTGAGTATCTTGGCTTTTATTTTTCTGTCTTACTACTTGTTTGTTTTCAAGTCAGAGTCTCACTCTGTTGATCAGGCTGGCCTGAAATGTACAGATTCACCTGTCTCTGCTGTAAAAGAGCTATGATTGAAGTCTTGCACTACTTTAGTTAAATAAAAATCAGATTGCTTTGGTATACAATCATACATTTCAGGCAACAAGAATGAGTATATGACTGGGTCACAGTAATGAAACTTAATTAGCTTCTCAATTTTTTTCTACCATCTATTTTAAACATGAATCTTGCTAATATTTGCGGTGGTTTGAATAAGAATGGACCTTTTAGGTGCAAATGTTTGAATACTTTGGTTCCTGGTTGGTGGAACTGTTTGGGAAAAATTAAAAGACGTGGCCTTGACAGACAAGGTCACTGGAAGCAGGCTTTTCAGTGTGCCTCTACATGTCTCCTTTTTGTGAATCTAGATGTGAGTTCTCACCTATTCCTGATGTCACTCCACCATCATGGATTCTTAACACTCTGAAACCATAAACCCAATTAAATATTTTCTTTTTGCCTTGTTCATGGTGTTTGTCATAGTAACTAAGCTACTGCTTTAAGAGTAATCCCTTCTCCACACAGGTGAAGATAAATAAGCTCCATATAAGTTGCAACTTTTTTGACTTGGTATATTCTTAAGACAATAGTTGGTGACAGCTAATAATTCACATGCAAGTCATGTATAGATAGATAAAATCTGTTAAATGAAAGGATACTAAATAAAATTAACCAAGGATTAATAACTTAGAGTCTCAATAAATCAAGTCATAAGAATATGTTCCTTTGGGGCTGGAGAGATAGCTCAGCTGTTAAGAGCACTGACTGCTTGTCTAGAAGACCTGAGTTCAATTTCCACCAACCATATGGTGGCTCACAACCATCTGTAATGGGATGCAATACCCTCCTGTGATGGGTCTGAGAGGAGCAAAAGTATACTCACATACATTAAATAAGTATCTTAAAAGAAAAAGAATGTGTCTTTTATACCTACATACACATAAAATTACAAACAATAAAATGATTATATAATAGTTTATTAACACTAAACAGGAATTGTGAAGACTTGGTATTACTTTCCAAGAAGCACAGCATTCCATATATACTAATCCTTTAAAGGCTATCTTTCAGGTTACACACCTCAGAATACTGTTTATATTTCACAGAAACAAACAGACCTACTACTAGTACTAAAGTGAGGTAAGACACTGTCCTCTGTAAGGGAGTGAAGACATTTTGCTTTTTTAACAGAGAACAAAATAAATACCAATAGATGATTTAAGAGAACACAGCAATAACTAACTTCAACAGGAAAGTGAACCTGATATTTTGTCTCCTAAACCCACCATGATATCTAACATTCTCTCTAAAAAGGGAAAAACAAACCAACACCAAAAGCCAAAAACTTTTCCTTCTTTATGCCCATCATGCTTCAGATCCCACTGAAACTGGATATTTCTATATTAATTATCTATCATAGTTTCACTGCCATTAACACCAATCTTCTTAATGCTTTCAAGAGTCTACAACTGAACCCTCCTTTTAAACAATATAATAAATATCAAGACAACACCATGTATCATAATTAAGAATTTAAATATTAAAATGCAGTTTCAAACAAAATGCACCTTGAGATAAAGGTTTAAGGAAGATAGATGTCTTTGCTCTCATTGCACATAACTCAGCAGACTTCCATTCTAACGGCTTTCTGTTGCATAAGTGGATGTTATCCAGCTTGATTTTATTAGATATGACTCAATGTCATCAACAAATTAGGTGAGGACTTACACTGGTCACTCGACGGTAGATCTGCGCAGCATTTTGGCACTCTGAGTATGGATATTCAGATGTAGCCATCTCAAGCATGCACATCCCAAAAGCATAAACATCAACAGATTCATCATATTTCTCCTCATACATCTCAGGAGCCATAAACTCTGGGGTACCTTAAATTAAAAGAATGATTCAGATTCAATATAGCCAATAACTGTAGGTCTTCCTTACCAGAGGGTTCAAGAAGCAAAGAGGTTGACCTGTCAGAGAAAAAAAATGGAAAGGAATATAAAAAAGAAAGGGGAAGCCGGGCAGTGGTGGCGCATGCCTTTAATCCCAGCACTTGGGAGGCAGAGACAGGGTTTCTCTGTGTAGCCCTGGCTGTCCTGGAACTCACTCTGTAGACCAGGCTGGCCTCGAACTCAGAAATCCGCCTGCCTCTGCCACCCAAGTGCTGGGATTAAAGGCGTGCGCCACACGGCCTGGCTCAATGTTTTTAAAGATAACAAAATGTAAACATCTGTAGAGGTGACTCACCAGTGCCTTTTCTTCATATAATTACCTTCCCACCTACAGTACACAAATAAGCCTAGTACAGATATAGGAGATATAGTGAGGAGCATCCTACAGGTGAGAAACAAATATACATACAAATATAGAACTCAAATACAGACTGATTTGTAAGCATGGTATGTATATATATATATATGGTATTACAAGATTAGATTTTATAATGGTTTCACAATCTTTAACTTCAGTTCCAAGACTAAATATGCATAGTATGATTTAATAAACAAAGGGGAGGAAACCTGTTGGACCCATGATTTTAAGATATCACAGACAAATAAATGCTTCCTATGACGAAAACAAAATGGCAATTTAGCTTCAAATATATTTTTTCTATTAATATATGAATACATATAAACAGCATTAGAAATCCTAACTACACAATATTCCAATGAGAACATTGTTTTTGTTTTGGTCTTTAAATAAAGAAATACAAATGACTGGTGTGCCATGATGTTCTCATTGGTACTTAGGATTCTGGCCCATCTATTAATGAATGGGCTTTTAATATACCCTATTGGAGAGCAAAACAGAACGTGAACTGCAAATTTATAAGTTTCAGAGAGCTAGACCTTATCAAACAGCCATTATTTTTTTTTCCCAGCTGTGACTCAAAAACTCTGAAAAGTCACTCATATTCTTTGGCCTACTTAATGACTTCCAATAGAGTTAATTTGGCTCTACTGACAGCCATGTCTGGAAACATTTTAGTGAGAACAATTAGGAGTAAATAGACTAATAGAACTAGTCTATTGTGGTAGAACTCAGAATTGCTATGAAATAATTCTACAATATGTCTACACAACTGTCTAGAGCCAGATATCTAGAGGACTAAGGCTGGGAAACAATTTAGATATTATCGTTCATTCCAAAAGGTGGGAGTAAAGGAAAGTTGATGAGACTAGCCTTTCACTGTACCTTCCCATATATTCTAATTTTCAAATCAAGTTTTTTACAGCCAGGTGTTCTTGAACATATACCCAATGGACATTTCTGAAGGTGAACTACATATAAATTTCTTTTTTTTTTTTTTGATGAAAAAAGCAACATGTTGCTCCTACTATATAAATAAAAAATATTAAGTATTAGCGGGATGATTCAGTAAGAACAAGATACTGTATCAATGAAGTTCACCTTACTTCTCTCCATGTAACTTTATAAAAACATCAATAATCTTCAAAAGGATTTTAGAAGCTTAATATTTAAAAAAAAATCCCTCATTTCATATTTAGATAGATTTGATCACTAGGTTCAAACTATGAATTCCTAAAGGTTTATTTTATGTCAGAAAAGATATGATAGGGTCAAGTTTCTAAAGAAAAGCTATGTCAAAAGGCCATACTGGCTCCAAAAGCACACTGGAAACATACCTATCACACTCTTGGCAAAAGAAGCCCGCTTCAGAGTTGCCAGACCAAGGTCTCCAATTTTGACTGAGCCAGTAGGACCAGTTATAAAGATGTTGTCGCATTTAAGATCTCGGTGAATAATTGGTGGAGTTCGTGTGTGGAGAAACTGAAGTCCTTTAAGGATTTGCCGACACCAGCTTCTTAAAACTTTGATTTTCATCACTTTAAACCTTTTTAAGTACCTGGAAAAAGCAAAGTAAACCAAACAGGTTATCAATGATATGAAGTTCTGCTTTGAAGAATTCCATTAAATTCTGACATACCAAAGATAGGAATATCAAATTTGGAATACTGAACCTTGGTATAAATTTAAGGGACTGAGATAAATTTAAAATGAAATTCTATCAAAAGACAAGAAAAATGAACTTTTTTTAAAAAAAAATCACTTTATATATACATATATTTTTACATTCATATGGGTGGGGAAAGTACATGCACCTACTCATGTATGGAAGTCAGAAGAGACCATGAAATCCTATGGATCTGAAATTACAGGTGTTTGCCGACTGCCTGGCTTGTTACCTGGGTACTGGGATCTATCTTCGTGATTGTGCAATAAGTGATCTTAACCATCTCTCTGGCTAGTAGTTTGTTTTTAAAGGATCTAACTATGTAGCCCAGGCTAAGCTTCAAACTTGCAATTTTTCTGCATCTGTAACCTTTTTTGTTGTTTGTTTGTTTGTTTGTTGGAAAGAGGGCTCATGTAACCCAGGCTGGCTACAAACTTTCTATATAACTAAAGATGATCTTGAACTCTTGATCTTCCTACCTCTGCTTCCCAACTTTAGAACTACAAGCGTGCACCACCATGCTGAGTTTTGCATTGCTAGGAATTGAGCCCCAGCCTTTGGGAATACTGGCAAACACTTTATCAACTAAACAACATCCCCAACTCTCAGAGGAACTAACTGGTAAAGTAGTAGTTGGTAGCTAAAAAAAAAATTCTTATAACAAAAAATGCATTCTTCAAAATTAGTTTAATGTTGATATAACTAAAAAGCAGAATTTTCCTTCAGTAAATAATGGAGCAGCTCCTACTAGTCACAAATAAATTCCTAAACCGGTTCAAACATGTGTGTATATATATATGCAATGGGCTGGCAAAATGGGTTACTAGGTAAAGGAAGGACAGAACCAACTCCTGCAAGTGTAATCTTACTACTTATGCACAACATAAGTTGTGCATGTTGCCTGTGAACACATATCACTCACACACACACACACACACACACACACACACACTTATGATTTAAATCATAAATATGTATGATTTAAAGGGGGTTTTTTTGCTTGGTTTTTTTTTTGTTTTTTCTTTTTTCTTTTTTTTGGGGGGGGGGTTGGTTTTTAAGATGGGCTTTTTCTGTGTAGCCTTGGCTGTCCTGGAACTCTCTCTGTAGACCAAGCTGGCCTCAAACTCAAAGATCTGCTTGCCTCTGCCTCCTGAGTGTAAGGATTAAAGCCATGCACCACCACCCAACGAAGATTGTTTTTTTCTAAACACACACGCACACATACATGCTAGAGAACAAAACCAATTGAAGTACAGGTGATTTCACATGAGAATATAAAGGGAGAGCAATGTGTAAACAGCCTCTATGTATGTATATGTGGAAAGAGGTCAACTTTAAATATCCTTGCATCTACCTTGTCTTTTAAGTCAGGGTCTTTAATTGACCTGGAACTTATCAAGTAGGCTAGAATGACTGACTAGGAAGCCCTAAGGACCAGCGCTGGGCTGATTGGCACAGATAATTATACCTTGCTTTTTTCATGTGGGTTTTATGAAGATTGAACTCAGATCTTCATGCTTTCCTGCTCAGTGGGTAAAGGTACTTGTTGCCATGCTTGATGACAAATCCCGTGACTCACATGGTATAAAGAGATAATGGACTCTCTTGAAGTGTTCTTTGACCTCCATATGCAAGCTATGATATGTGTATGTGCACACACACCTCAATAAATGTAAATGGAACAATTTTGGGGCATGGTTCAATAAATAACTGTTCTATGACTGCAGCGCAGTGCTGATAAGTAAAGAAAAGAGATGGGGTAAAGAGATGCTTCAGTGGTTAAGAACACTTACGGTTTTCCAGAAGAACTAAGTTCATTTCCCAGCATTCATGCCAGGTGGCTCATAACTACCTTTAATTCCAGCTCCAGGGAAACCAACACCCTGGTTCTGGCTTCTCTGGGCACCTACATATGGCACCTGCATGTGTGTACACTTTTTTTTTTTTTAATCAAAAAGAAGAAGAGTAGGTGGCCTGATGTACATTACTAATGACTTAAGTTTGATTTCTGGAATTCATGGTAAAAGGAAAGAAATGAATTCTGGATTTAGTCTTTCTATCTCTATATTTGTGCCATGACACATTTCTGGACTAGCACATACATATTATTCTCATTCATATTCTATTTATTCTCATAGTCTCTCATCTATCCACTCACCTACCCCCCCAAATAATAAAATACACTTTTAAAAAGGAAAGAAAAAGACCAGCTTAACAAGAGGGAAACCACGCCCTCATGCCTAGTACAGGAAATCTAGATGACTAACTACCTAGGGCTAATGAAGTTGTGGACCTTGAAGAAGAATCTACAACTGCCACTTTACCAACATAGTCCCTAACTACATTTTAAATATTTGTTCTTATAGCCACAGATAAGTGCAGTTCTTACCCTAAAATGAAGAAAGTTCTTTTAGTAGCAGATGGAGACCATTACAGCACAGCTGCTCAAAATGCAGAGTTGTAGAGCCCAGATATAACTGATTCATCTATAATACAACTCCTGGACCTAAGGCTCAAACATCGTTGCAAAAGAGGGGGCAGAGGGGGCAGAAAGATTTTAAGAGCCCAGAGAGCAGGAGGTTTGCTGTAAGATTGTGTTTTCTAGAAATGTCAAAAGCTTCGCCCATAGTCTAACATATCTGCTTAAACATCACCTGAATAAAGACAACATCAATAACATGCTAACATGGAAGGGACAAAATATTAACCCTTGACAAAGACCTATAAGCAACTAAGGACTGTTGAGAGTGGAAAAATTAGTCTTTCCCTGGAAAAAGCACTCCAATAGGTTTATCAATTACAAAATGGTCAGCCCTGAAAATATATACTGCAAGTAACATTATATAGACTGAGTAGGTACTTATATACTTAGGAATCTGTATATATACACATATCCATAACAATTGATAGATAAACTGGAGAAGGGGAATGAATCTGAAAAAGAGCCAAGGGGAGCAGGTACCATGGGAGGGCTAAGAGGAAAGAAAGGGAGTGGAGAGATGATATAATTATAACCTCAAAAAATAAAATATTTAAGAAGGGAAGGGAGAAATTCCAGAAAGTAGTCACAGAAAAAGAGTCCTCAGTTCTATATATTTTGGCCCAAGTCTCCAGGTAACTGTTGAAATATGTACACATACAACAGAATCCACAAGGTGATTAACAGGAAAAGAATGGCACAAAAGTCTCTGACAATATCTACCACTGGAGAGAAGATACTGTTTGGGAATTGCATCCTGATGTGCATTTTATCTGTACATATGCAGGGTGAAGAAAGGAAAATCATCTATTTTCATATTATTTTTAAAGTACAAGCAACTAGTTAACAGAAAAGAAAAATCTGCATTTGGGGAAAAATTTGTATTTGTATAAAATGTACATTTGTCAAATATAAAAATCATAGTATAAAAACAAGTGTTAGCTAGGAAATGTGTTTTAAATGAATTTGTACAATATTAGTACTAAATTAGTGAAGAGGTGATATAAATAAAATCTTTATAGTAATCATTTTTTTAGAAATCCTACACTAGATCTGAATCTAAGAGTAAAACTAAAAATTCTACATTTGGATGTAGCAATTACATAAGTCTAATAGCAAAGGCAAGTGGTGCTTCGACCACATGTATGTCTGTGCACCAAGTGTGTGCCTAGTGTCCACATTGGCCAGAAGTGGGAGTCTGAGACTCTAAGACTACTAGAGTTAAAGACAGTTAAGCCTGCTGGGACTTGAACCAGGGTTCTATGCAAGAAAACCTGGTGAGCTTAACTCTTGAACAATCTTTCTAAGCCCCCTAATTACTTTTAATTTTCAAAACTTGATTTTGGGGAGAAGTTGGGTGAATATATAATCAAGTTATGCTGTTCTCTAAGGGTTAATAAAAATATTACTAAAACAAAACCAATCAGCCAAACAAAAATGACCAGTACCAGGGGTACCATAAACCCCTAACATTACAGCCTATTGCTATTGTTGGGTTACCCTAGAAATTGATGGCAAGCCCCTACTGCTGAGGATACCACATAGCTGACATGGAGAAAAATGAAGCTGGAAACTTCCTCCCTACTGACAAACTTTCATAGTGCTGGAAGGTACTATGTACACTACAGCAATCAATAGTCCCACCCAGCTTAGAACCCATGTGAGCTACAATAAGAACTGGCCTAGCAAGAAATGTCATTGATACAATATTGATAAAAATGTAACGGGAGTAAGCAACTACTACTTTATGACTGAATTTAAGACAGAACCCAGGCCTGATATATAAGCCCTAAGGGAAATAGCCCTACTATTATTCTGTGAAATAGAAATAGTACTAGAGTGACTCCTAGTGGCTTATCATTATACTTATATACTAGTACAACTCTCAAACCTCAGGAGAAGCTTCTTTTTTTTGCAGCAGGTGATGAATACAGAGACTAACAATTAGTAAACATGTAGAGAGAATTAGAGCTTACAGACTGCTCATCCCTAAATGGGACATCTATGTCACACCTTCTTCCTCTGTGGCTCAGGGATCATTGCTAAGGAGGGGGTAAAAGATTATAAGAGCCAGGGGTAGTGGAAGATTGCTGTTAAACAATGTTTTCTATACATTAGAGAACTCTATACCTGGTACTATAACCCTGATCAAAAACTCATGGCTGGGAGGTTTTAGGATCTAAAGAGTGGTTCTCAACCTTCTTAATGTTGTGATCCTTTAGTACAGTTCCATCATGTTGTGGTGACTGCAACCATAAAATTATTTCATCGCCATTTCATAACTTTAATTTTGCTACTGCCATGAATTGTAATGTAAATATCTGATATTTGACCCCTGTGGAGGTTGTCCCACAGGTTGAGAACTACTCACTGATAAGAACTTAGTACTGTTGGTGAGCAAAAGTGACATAAGAAACTGCCTTCAAAATGTTTAAATTTATACACATAGATAAATGCTTTGCTTTAGCCTTAATTAGAGAAGGTTCTCTTTGTAATGAATGTAATGACCGTACATGCAGAGACTCATAGCTGTTCAAGTTGATGAGAATAAGTGATAGCTGAATGTTCAACTTTGAGCAAAACCTTTCTAGATCTTAGGGAACTTGTGGAATTGGGACAGGAAAATATAAGATCCAAAGATAGTGATATCTATGGGAGATGGCAGGGCAGTGGTGGCACACACCTTTAATCCCAGCACAGAAGAGGCAGAGGCAAGAAGATATCTGAGTTCGAGGTCAACCTAGTTTATAGAGTGAGTTCCAGGACAGCTAGGGCTATACAGAGAAACCTTGTCTCAAAAATAAAAAAATAAAAAATAATAAAAATAAAAAATAAAAAAAAAAACACGCAACAACAACAAAAAGTAACTATAGAATGCTATTTTCCAGGAATGACTCCACCATACCAATAATCATCTCACAAAAGCTTGCATCTACCTGTATAAGATAGGGCCTGTCAACAGTCAATCACCGATAGGAACAGAGCTTCCAAGGGTCCTACATACACCACCCCAATCCCACCCTACTGAACTACTGGTTACCGATTATGGGGGAGGAGATGTCACTTTCAATTTTGTACCCACTGGTAAGCCCACCAGGCTCTGATAGACAATTTCAAACTCATGTTCACACAGGTTAAATTCAACAAGTTATAAAACAAAACAAAAAGGCATGAATGTGGGGAAAAGACTTGTGAGAAGGGAGAATGACAGGAATTGGGAAGATATTGGAGGGATGAAAGAATAATTAGAATATTCAATATTCATATATGAAATTGTCAAAGAATGATATTTTGGGGGGGGGGCGCTGGAGGCGGGGGAGTCTTAGTGTCCATAGCTGCTCTGGAATTAGATAAAAGAGACTGACTTGTGGAGACCTGACTGTCTCTGCCTCCTGAGTACTGAGTACTGAGATATAAATGAATGATTATACCAGGAGCAGGCTCTTATGAAATTTTAATGATTTGTTCTTAGGTACATCTTGTTCAATTGTGCCTGTCATTTTCAGGATAGAATCCCATTTCTTCCTTAAGTCTTCTACTATTTATTCTCAATCCCCCTTCATATAACTGTTTGCATGTTCACTTTCATCTTTCCATAAATAATTAATAAATATTACTTTCAGAATTGCACACAGTATCTTTAACTGCTCCAGTATTAATTTCTGGTTATATGTCTTCATAGTTTTTTTAGTGGGTTCATTATTTAACTGTGAAACCATCTGTCTAGTTACTTTTCTGTTGCCATAACAAAATATCATCAATAAAGCAATATATTAAATATATTTAATTGGGCTTACAGTTTCAGAGAGTTAAGAGTCCATGATAGGGGAACAAAGACATGGCAGCAGACACATCCGAGAGCTTACATCCTGGTCCACAAGTATCAGACAGAAAGACTAGGATTCATGACAATCTTACAAAAGCTCAAGGCCTGACCCCTCTCCCAACAAGACGGCACTTCTAATCCTTCCCAAAATAGTTCCATCAACTGAGAACCAAGTATTCAAGTGCATGGGCCTGTGGGAGTCATTCTCATTTAAACTACGTTTGAAAACTAATCTATAGATAATATGACCATCAATGAAATGTCCATGGAAGTTTCATTTGGGTTCACTTATGACATATCTTTTGGCTTAAGTTTCCTGCACTAGCTAGGCAGCAGAATTTATATTATAGAGAATATATATTATTAATTTATTATTGTATATGAGAAAATGATAGAGATGAATACAAAGTACAGGCATTGATAGCAACTTGGAAAGGGAAATGGGGCAAAGAGGATAACAGTATTTTTTCAGAGACTCTACATTCATCCAAAGGGCCAAAGCTTTTTGTAGTTTTATTGGAGTGCCAACTTTATTTACCCTTTTATGGACAATTACATTTTTTAACATGGGTTATATTCTAATCCTTCTCTCTATTAGCAGTCACTTTGTGAATACGAAACTAGTACCCACTTCCTCAAGAACCATATCTGATGTAACAGTGACTTCTCTTCTCTTTTTTTATTGAGGATTACCCTTTCCCACTGAAGTTTGGATATACACTAAAACAACTTGTATTTCACATTGCAGTTTACAGGTAGAGAATAGCCAGTTCACATGCAACCCTTTTCCAGTACCCAAAATGTTTCTCTATAGTTTTGTCTTGTTTGAACAGGTCTCATTTTGTTAGCCTTTAACTTACTATGTAGCTGGGCCTGGCCTTGAACTCCTCATTCTGCCTACATCTCCCAAGTGCTTGGATTACATGTGGACATCACACCAGACTTTCAATATAGCTTTCATTTGTTTGAGATAATGTCTCATGTAGCCTGTACAGGTCTCAAACTTGCTAAGTACCTGAAGATGAACCTCTGAAGAACTGGGAGTTCAGCTATATACCAACACACCCAGTTTATGTGGTATGGTTAAATAAACTCAGGATTTTGTATTTTGTGCATGCTAAGTAAGAATCAATTAAGTTACACTCTAATATAGTTGTTGTTTCTTCTTCTCTTTTTCTTCTTCATCCTTTCCTCCTCCTCTTCTCCCTATTCCTATTCCTCTTCCTCCTCTTCCTCCTTCTCTTCTTCCTCTTCCTCTTCCTCCTAAACAAGTAAACTACACTTCATAGTGTAGTATCTGTAATTCTAGCACTCTGGAGGTAGAAGCACAAGTACTGCTTAATTCTAGGCCCATTTGGGGTTCCATAGCAAGTTCCAGGTCAGCCAAGGCTATATAATAAGACTCTGTGTCTCCTATGGTGCTGGCATTAAAGGTGTGCATCATAATGCCCAGCTCTTACTTTATTGTATTTTTTAACATTTTCATTACATTTTACATTTATTTGTTTCTTTGTTTAGAGTTTTTGAAGACAGGACTTCTCTGTGTAATCTTAGCTCCTAGCACCCATAATAGACAGCCCACTACAGCCTATAACTTCAGCTCTAAGGAATCTGTCACCCTCTTCCCCCCTGCAAAGACTCCAATACATATGGCATATACTCACAGATATACACATTTACACGTGAATTAAAAAAAATCATGAAAACTTTTAGTAGGTTCATTAATGTTTTTGCCTGTGTATCCATGTGTATACACTACATGCAAACTTGATGTCCACAGAAGTCACAAGGTGTCAGATCCCCTGGAACTGGAATTATAGATATTTGTGAACTATCATGTGAGTGCTGGGAATCAGACATGGGTCCTCTGCAAAAGCAACAAGTGCTCTTAACAACTGAGCTTTTGCTCTAGCTTCATAATCATGACTTTAAAAACATACAAACAAATAAATCAGCAAGACACAAGCAAAACCATTGTAATGTGCTCTTACATAGGCCTGACAGACTGCTGACAAGCAACTAGGTATTGGTATCAGTGACAAGAATTTAAAGATGTAGAGAGTCACACAACTTTCTTTAAACCACTCAAGTATTTATCAAGTTTCAGACACTGTGCTACAAAGTAAAGTCTAGTAGAAGAAGCAAGTATATGAATAATAAGGAGTCTGAATAAATATAATCCGTCATCCATCATCTTCATCTTCATCCTCATCCTCATTAAGAGAAAGATGGAGAGATGACCTAGCAGTTAAAAGTGCTTGCAGAGGACCTGAGTTCAGCTTTCGGCATCCATGTACAGTGGTTCACAACTACCTGTTAATCTCATTTTAACCACTAGAGGGCAACCTTGACATTGATTTCTAATCCCTAAACTGCTCAATTTTAGAAATGCCAATCAAAGTGACTTAAAATTAACTAGGTTTATTCAGCAACAAACTCATTCCAATAGTTATCGATAAATAACCATCATATTATTTTATATACAAGAGGATTTTGTGGGTAGGAAAAACACATTGTATCATAAAGGTTTAAATATTTCTGTCATAGTAGGCTAAACAAAAGTAGATCTAAAACAAGAGATTATCTGGAAAATATTGATTGACTTACGTCTTAAGTGTTCCAGATGTCATTAGTTCAGTCACTAAAACAATGCATTTTTTCCCTTTTACTGTTGATTCCCAGGAATCATAGAATCGAACAATGTTGGGATGTTGAAGACCCTTTAACATTTCAGCCTCTTCTTTGAATCTCTGCCTTTCAGATTTTGTTAACTTTCGATCCTAAAAGGTAAAAGACAAACAAAACAATGTGATTTAAAATGATAAAACACAAGTCACACAGCTATATTAGGATGCTAAATAATGGCACATGGTTGCAATCTCAGCACTCAGATAGCCTCAATGAGGCAGTAAGACTAAATTCAAAACTTGTCTAATAAAATGTGCTAATTGTACATTAATGATAAATAGCATTAAAATGAAACAGAAACACTAATAGTCATTTGCATGCCTTAAGAGGTTGAGAACAGACTACTACATATTTAAGGAAATGGAATTATAAAGTAATGCTTGAAATTACTTATCATTTTTCAATGCCTAAAATAGAATCTCATTCTGTAAGATACAGTTAACTTGTCACTTCCAAAATAAGTCAGTAATTGTTAGAAACAGGCAATTAATGTCACAAAATAGTTATAGGTCTTTGAAGGCAAAGACTTAATAAATCAAGGCTATTCAGAAAAAATGTCTTGAAAAAAACAACAAAAAAGGTTAAATAATAAATATAGTTCTATCTTTGCACTAAATTGAACTTTCTATGAATATGCTGTATAATCTAACAAAACTGTTATCATAATCAAGCAGTCTAGTAAGTATGCTTTCATCATGTGTTAAGTTCTTGGTGCCTTTACAGGAGCTAATTACTTCCTATCTGAGATAAAGAAGGGGAAAAGGACCCAATTTGGTTTTATAGTTTAACGAAGTCCATATACACAATGTCTTGATTGTTCTGTTTATTAAGATGGAAACTATCTTTAGTCACTCTCAATATAGATACTTTAAAGTAGTATTCCCAGCAAACTAAAAGTGGTTTAATATTACAATATTTTAGCAAACCTAAGTGATTTTAATATTATATACCGAATTTAAAGTATTTTGTGGGGCTGGAGAGATGGCTCAGTTGTTAAGAGCACTGGCTGTTCTTCCAGAGGTCCTGAGTTCAATTCCCAGCAACCATATGGTGGCTCACAACCATCTATAATGGGATCCGATGCACTCTTCTGGTGTGTCTGAAGACAGTGACAGTGTACTCACATATATAAAAAATAAATAAATCTTAAAAAAAAGAAAATCTAAAAAAAATAAAAAATAAAAATAAAGTATTTTGTGTAACTAGAGTGGACCCTAGTTCCTACTCCTTATCCTTGAATGAACACTATCCTAAATTTAGGTATAAAAGAACCATTGGGTTTTACACTCTGAAAAAAAATTGAACATATCACAATTTATATATTACCTACTAAGGAATCTTTAGGCACTTACTCATTTCTTGCTTCTCCAATACCACGAATAAGGTTGTGCTGTTTATCTTTTTAGGCTTGTATATATATGTATATATAACTATTTAACAGAACACTGGAGTTTTTGTTTTGTTTAGACAGAATCTCTCTACATAGCCCTGGCTGATCTGGAACTAACTATCTAGTCCAGTCTGACCTTGAACTCAGAGATATACTTGCTTCTGCTTCCTGAGAGCTACAATTAAAAGCATGTGCCACCAAGCCAAGCTTGGACACTTTCTCATAGTATTCAAACTTCTTCATTTACAAACTTACAGGACTGGACAGATGGCTCATCAGTTAAGAGTAGCTGTTGGAGAGGCAGGCGGATTTCTGAGTTCGAGGCCAGCCTGGTCTACAGAGTGAGTTTCAGGACAGCCAGAGAGATACAGAGAAACTCTGTCTCAAAAAAAACAAACAAAAAAAAAAAGTGTCAGCCGGGCAGTGGTGGCACACGCCTTTAATCCCAGCACTTGGGAGGCAGAGGCAGGTGGATTTCTGAATTTCTGAGTTCAAGGCCAGCCTGGTCTACAGAGTGAGTTCCAGAACAGCCAGAGAAACCCTGTCTCAAAAAACAAACAAAACAAAACAAAAAGAGTAGCTGTTGGTCTTGCAGAGGTCCCAGGTTCAGTTCCCAGCACCAGTATAATAGTATATATATATAACCATCCATAATTCCGAAACCAGGGAATCTAACACACATTCTTCCAACCTGCTCTAGCACCAGGCATGTATACTCTCATTTACATACATAAAATAAATCTAAATATTTTTAAAGATTTATGGACTTGCACAAATAGATATTAATTTTCATTAACTTTGAATTAAGACTTACTATTTCTTAATTATGAATGTAAACATCTAACAGTATTCTGCATTACCTGCGAATTCTATCACTGTTGAACTTAACCAAATAACAAATTATAGATATCACAAAATGCCAAGTAGTAATTAATCACTACTTGGAAATCATAGCTATTAGATCTTGCACTACATCATAGACTCTATTAGTGATATATACAATACCACTTTTAAAAAATGATACCTTGATAACTAAAGCAATTTCTTTTCTGCTCTTCTGTGCTTTTGCTATGGTCTAAATGATTCACATTAAAATTGTAAGTCTCAAAGATATTAGGAGGTAGACTCTTTAAGTAGTGATTTCATAAGAGGGGACAGGGATAAGGACTTCAGGGAAGAAATTAATCTGTTCCACCATGTGAGGATGCAACAAGAACAAGATACAAGTTCTCTGAGGCACAGTAAGTACTGACCAGACATGGCAAGTTGACCTAGAACTTCCCAGTTACCTAAACTATGAAATCTTTTCTATTATTTATAAATTAATGCCATCTAAGTTTCATTAGAGCAGCCTAAGCAGTCTAGAAATTCCCTTATGTCTAAAGGTTACCACTGCTACACATGCTCAAGAGCACATGTGGTAGTTATCTACAACACATCAACTATGTTAATTTGGTGAGTGTAAAACCATATCCTGCTTATCAGTGTCATTAATCTGCTTAAAATAATCTGAGAGGGTCTGATATATATCCCCAGATGACTTTGAAATTGCAGCCCTACCTCAGTTTCCCAAATGCTGGGATTACAGATGTACAGATGTACATCATCAATTGTGTTTTTTTAATAAAATTTTCAAGTGTTTATGTTTTAGGAAAAATTTCTCCCCCCCTTGTCTGAAATAAACTCCTCTCAACCTTCATCATATGTAGAAATACATACGTGTGTGCCTGTGGGACTTATCTTTACTGTTTCTCATTTTTCATTGCTTTCTCATAGCTCCTTATTCTCAGATATCACAATCTGTACTAATTTTCTTGTAACTACAACACATTCTTGCTTATTATTTTTTAAAACTATCATTATTAATAGGGCTTAAGAAAGGTAAGGATACAAAAGGCATTGTGCCAGAACGTCTACTCCAGATATAGGGGTGAGGTGACCATAAATGAAAATGCAAGTAAGTCTGAAATATCCATGAGGTGGGTGGGTGGTTACTCATAAAGAACAAAAAAACAGGCCAAGCTAGGCATGGTGATGGTATGCCTATAATCTTAGCACTCAGGATTGAGATTTTTTTTCAGGTCAGAAGAGTTTGTTTCCCTCCAAAACACAAAACAAACAAAACTACTTCCAAACCAAAACAGAACAGCACAACAACAACAACAAAACTCTACAGGGATAAGCAGTCAGACTCAAAAAGTATCGATGGGGAAGTTCAAGAAAGGGAAAAAGTCTAGTCATCATTCCTTCCCACAATATCAAAAACAAGGCTAATGGCCAGAGAGATGACTCAGCAGCTAAAGGCATTTGCCCATAAAACGGATGTCCTGACTTCAACCCCTAGTACCTACATGGTGAAAGGAGGAAATTAACTCCTGAAAGATGAAAGAAGTCCTCTGGCCTAAACACACTCATGCACACATGCACACATGCACACATGCACACATGCACACATGCACATACGCACATACGCACATACACACATACACACATGCACACATGCACACACGCACATACGCACATACGCACATACGCACATACGCACATACACACATACACACATACATACATACATACACTTAAACAAAGCTAAACTGGGCATGATGGTACTTAACACTTACAAGATTGAGTTGGTAGGAGGATTAGCCTGGACTATATAGTATGACCTATGCTAACTCACCAAAAAAACCAAAAACCAAAAAACATACCTAAGAGAAAATGGCCTGAGGTGATAGGGGGGAATATGATCAAACTAAAGAATTTATTAGCCGGGCAGTGGTGGCGCACGCCTTTAATCCCAGCACTTGGGAGGCAGAGGCAGGCGGATTTCTGAGTTCAAGGCCAGCCTGGTCTACAGAGTGAGTTCCAGGACAGCCAGGGCTATACAGAGAAACCCTGTCTCGAAAAACCAAAAAAAAAAAAAGAATTTATTAAGAGAGTTTTCTGGCCATCACTTCCAAGGAACCCAATTCCTAGAAGAGAGATTCATCTTTTCTCATACAGAAGCAATCCTATACATTTGAATGAGTCATAATAATCAGTTTAACACAACAGTCCCCTTCATAAGCAAGCAAGTTTTTCCACATCCTCTTTGGACTTCTTCCTTGTCAGAATCTTTCTTGCTCTCTTACTAGAAGACTGGCAAAAACATTATTTCACTGGGCTGGGGACATGGCTTAGTTAGGTAAAAAGCACTCAACACTACGTAACTGATAACATGTTACAGATTCCCAGGACCCAAATGATAGACGGAGAAAACTGGCTTGGACAAGTTTTCCACTCACCTCTAACACACATATCCAAAACAATGAAAGTAATAATTTTTTAAAGTAATGTTTAAAAAAAATAAACCAAGTTCTCTTTCACATCTTTTTGTATTTTATTTTAGCTCTCCAATCAAAGGCTGTGCACTTTTATCCACCAAGTCACCTCGCCTGTCCTCCAGGGTTCATTATTCATGATGACACAATTACTGTATTCTTGTATGAACTTTCCGGAAATTAGTCAAAGTCTAAGTAACTGAAGCTAGATGACTGAGGAAGATGGTAGTACTACTCATTTAGTATTTGATTTCAGTGCATTTTCATTTCATTTTAGATTTTTCATTGTACAGCCACAACATCAGTATTGCAATTTCAGTCTCTTTAACTCTTAAAAAAAATAATGGGGAGGTTACAATAGGAGTACAGAGTTCAAGGCCAG